GGAGAATATTCTAGAAGGAGGGCATTCTGCGATGACTGGACAAATACAACTGAAGTGTATTCATGTGTTTTATGTGCCCACATTCATAGATTTAGATTATAAAGTCTCATAGAAACGTTATGTCACATATGCAGTGCTACCGGAGCTAAGTAATGCCTTTTTTTAGTTTCCATCACCTTGATGTCACATTAAAAACTTTTTGCGCATGCTTGCTAGTCAACTGGGAAGGAATTATTTCTGACTATTAAACTATCGAAGTATCCACCGCTCTTTGTCTTCTAGGTCTTTTTCTGTTGTTGTCTGTGACACGTGCAAGATTGAAGGACTGCTGTATCCTTGTGTTCTGTTAGCCTTACCCACAAAAATAATACACTGTTGAAAGTACCGTAAAATATATATTCATTACAGCGAAATATCCGTACAATTGAGAAATATATTGTTGGGCTCTTTCGAAATCTCGCATTGCAACTTGGTGATATGCAAGACGCCACCACTACATTTATATTTGCCACAAACCTACAATTCACGCCTAAAAAAAATGGCAAGAATGCCAGCAAAGTTGTCGAGACTTGAAGACTCCTATTTCACTTGGGCGTGGAATATTCGTGCATAGGGTTCCTCGATGCGCGCGCCCCCTTGCAGGGTGGAGACAACAGCGTCGTCTGCTACGGCGTCTGCCATTAGGATGCCCTCTCCGCAGGCCACCTATAGCCACGATAGGCAGCCAACGGGCGTCGCGCGGCTGCATGCAGAGTTCGTTGTGTCAAAACGAGTGGTACTCAAACAACATGACAAAAATACAAAGTTTTCGCATCGGGAGTGTCAAGGTCTCAGATTTCTATTCTATAATCTTTATTTTTAAAGCGACATTAGCAGCTGGAGTTGTTCGCAGCAGAATACTACCGTCCACGCCAGCCACGTTAACATCTTCAGTTAGCATCTTCTTGGGCTAGTCGGTAACTATTTATACTGGTTAAAGATGCGAAACACACGCACGCAAGTCCCATAACCTTTCATTGTGTCTGTGTGTTTTGTGCCTTTCACAAAAGTGTAAAATTAGTTTGCCTGCCGGTCAAAAAAAGAATTGAAAAAAACAACGTGCTGTCACGAAAAAAGAGAAAAACTGTGATTGCACACCATATTTTCAAATCTAGTTTTCGAATTATTCATCAGCTACTCCATTTACGGACCGCACCCTGCAACGCACAGTATTCTGAATTGTGTTTTCATCTTTTTTGCCTTACTGTAAATAGCAGATGGGCAAAAAAATTGTTCAATACATATACTATTTGGGGCCCTACATACGGCTTTTATGGCATTAAATCATGACTCGCACGCAGACACTGACTATCAAACCAGGTTTAGCGTGTTTTCCGCTGGAATATATTATAAATTAGTAACTGTAATAAAGCGTTCGTCGATATCGTTAAAATGAAGCGACCACACGCTTCTCAACAATAAGAAAGCAAATTGCGTTCAATATACGGCCATTTCTGATGCCATAGCTTGTTTATTTCATCGATAACTTTAATATATTTCAAAAACAAGTGCTACAACTCACTGCAAGTTAACCGCAGCGCATGTCTTGCTTCCACTCCCACTGGTTCTCGCTGTTTCGAGCTGGCGCAGGTGAATGCGAAGCCTTACTCGTGCATAACTGGATATCAACATTTTTTCCAGAGAACCCTTGTGTTGCTGGCATGCCTGCACACTGCACTTGGTCCTCTTGAATAAATATTCAGTTACAGCTTTGAGAGGGGACTTCAGGGTGAACAGGTTGTCTGTCCAGGATGTGATCCCTTTAAAGTGTTCTTCACAAGATATGAGCGAGCTCATAACCTCACCGCTCGGATAACACAAGTTCTCACCATCCTGAACATACTCCTTTAGTGCAGTTAAATATGCGTGTTCATGGCTCGCCGAGCCTTGCATTGCAGCCCTGCACTGCTTGCAGTCCGTTTTCTTCAATATTTTTTTCACAAGGAATCCACCTATATGGTGTAAAATGCTGCACTCTATTGAAGTCAACGCTTCAATGAAAAGAATTTCCCCATCATCAATTTCCTCTTCATCATCTCCTCGACACTCTCTTTTCCCTTGGGAAATCATGCCATCCAGGTACTCAGAGTCGTCATTCTCATAACTAGAGTTCGCTGGCGTGTGCAAAAACTGGCTGACGCACACAAGCTTTAAAGCGCATTTCATGTCGTACGCGTTAGGGACGGGTTTCCTTTGGCGCACGACAGAAAAAAGATTCTCCAGGCAGTCCTGAAGTAGTCTCCCAGTGAGCAAGAACTTGTAGCCATCCGATTTCAGTAAAATATTTTGCAAACGAAGGACCACTGTCGTTGAAACCATGAGACCAGCCTGTGTGGGCTTCCACTGGGATGTACTTCCCATCTGCATGCCTTGTATTGTCTCCAATGTCAAGCGCAACGTTTCCAGGGCCTCGTGGTACTTTGCCATGTCTCGACAACTAAGTGCGACAGACGGATGTCGCGAGGACATCAGCTTGTACCATTTTGCGATCAGGTCCAGGAACCATGCTGTAGTTTCAGCTTCTGGTTCGAGCACTTTCTCTCTAATTAGGCAACGAGTGGCAGCTGGGGATTCCTTGAAAAACTGCACCGCTATGCCGACTTTCATTTTCGTGTAATGGCCTTTGCTGATGTGTACTTCTGAAAGTTTGGATGCAATTTTCAGCTCTTTATCGGAGTCATACTCTACGACAGCACGCACATGCTCCAGTTTGACTTTGTTTGAGGGTAAGCCATGGTGACAGACAGTTGCGTCACTCAGTGTAAAATCAACAGAGTTCAAAAGCTGGCCTCGAATATTTTTTATCACGTGCGCGGCATCTGCAGTGAAGAAGAGTTCCTTTCCCTCAAGCACAGGATGAGGGATTGCGCACACCGTGTTTGAGTTCCTATGGCTAGAAAAACCAAACTCGCGCCACATCGCTCTGTTGGAGGCTCCCATGTCAGAGGTCACCACAAGCACTCTCAGGGAAATATCTGCGCAGAGCTGCACGATTTCCAGCACAAAACTCTTGAGCAGACAGCCGTCGACCGAGCTTCCAATGAAATAATACGCAATGACCTGTTTCCATCTTGAGTTCAATCCTCCGACCAAAAACACCAAGCAATGACAGGCGGGTTCATCTGGTTCCGCTGGGAGTGTCTTTCCTCCAAACACGACGTCTTCAGCACGGTCGAACTCATACCCGCGGGCAATTTCCATTTCGTCGAGATAAAGCACACAATCTCTTTCAACGTCTTCCAAGCCCTCTGCTTTTGCTCTGAGCAACTCAGTAACTTCCGTTAAAATCCCAGGCAGGAACTTGAGCCCTTGAAGACGACGGACAAGAGTTCTGTTAGAAGGCAGTGGATACCCAAGTTTTCTTAGGGTTTCATAGCCTGTTGTTTCACTTGCGAATTTTATCTGAAAAGCTTGTTTAATTGTTTTTGATGACCAGGTAGTACCTCGGTTGCTGTTTCGTGATAAGGCTCGCATTTGGTCTTCATTTAGGAACTTCAGTTTTTTTCGTAAAATCCCACTGGCATATTCCAACTTCTGAAGCTTCTTTTTAATTGAATTAGTTTTAGCACTTGCTTTGCTATGATCTTCACGGAGTTTCGCGTACTTTGCCTTCAAGTCCTGTAGCTGTTTATTCACTTCAGCACACGACCTGTTACTGCACTTCTCTTCCGACAATTCAACATGGGTTGCGGAAAGTGGGCATGCAACTAGCTGAGAATCATCTGTTGTAGGAACTTCAGTTTCTGCCGTGGCACTTGGGCTAGGTAAGTTGCTCATCTGATCACGAGACATCTCCGTGCCATCACTCGGTAGTGGCTGCAATTCTTGATTTGCTGTTTGTTGCATACCAGCTATGTCGTTGACATGTTGTTCTTGAATTTCTGTCGCTGAGGTATTAGAAGCATGGGGTTGACTGTGCAGAGAACAACGTTTTCTGCGGCCGCAGGCGTCCCTTGTGGTAAAAACCTTTCTTTTGGTGGCTTCCTGTGCTTAGGCATCGCTAAAAAAAACACACATATGTTGCATATCAGCTGGCAGATTCTTTTATCATTATGAACGAACATGCTCTGAGCGTCGCTACGCATAGAAATAAAAATAAACAAAGTGCGAAGTTGTCATTATCCTGCTTCTGGATGGCAGGTGCGGTTAATTCACCTCTCGATAAAAATGGAGGAAACGAGCGATTTCATTGACCGAAGGTATTAAGAGCGTTTTTCTGTAATGTGGGTTTTTTTCTGTTTTTAAAGAAACACCTGGTTAGACCCTCCATGTGACTCTTAAGAAGGCCGGCAATAACAGTGCTAAACGTGGAACTGACTAAGATTGGAACAAGGAACAAAATTAGGAAGCAAACTCGCAAACTTCCGTTAACGCGAAAATAAGTGGATTCCTACCTCTGAACGAAAAGATTGTTGGCAGAGCATTCGGCTTCAATTTTTTCCAGCCGTCCGCACGGTTCTGCTCAAATGCGGTTTCTTCGAAATGTCCCTGCAGCGCGGAAACACGCGATGATCAGGTCTCAAAGATCTTCACAAAAACCTTCTAAGCAGACCACAACAGCCAACACTTTCAGGGACATGCGTAAAGAGTGATGAGGGAATTTTAGGGGCTGTTGTAGTTGGAGTTAATAATAAAGAAGGGAAAATGGTCAATTTCTTTCTGAAAAAACAGGGACAGTGAGAAAATATTCTTTGATAATGAACTGACGGGATGCGTGCTTTCAATGTGATGTTACAAAAACAAATTGTTGAAGGCGCCGGTAGCAACAAGCGACAACGTAGGCGCACATCTCTGCGCAATTGCAGCTTGTGTACTACAAGCGATCAAGAACAACGCATTTTGTGCTATCCAAAATGAACAATACGCATGTACATAGCATGCAAATGAACGAGTATTGCACCCGGTGCACTGGTGATAGCGATTAAGCCCGATCGGGGTCAGATTTCTGAACCGTCATTGCCGTCCTTCTGCACCAAAAGCCTTTCACATGAGTGACCAACAAGCCCACGTTGCAACCCTCATCGACTACAGTCCTTCTGCAGCTTGCGTATAAGGGAGTCAATCACTTCAGGCTCGATCGCGATCAAAAATGCTGAAATGGCATAACTTACGCTGCACAAACACGAACGGTCCGTGGGTTGCCACTTGTCGCGCTTGATCTTTACCAGCCACAGGAGTCGTCTTTTCGGATCTTTCGGAAATCTGAACATCCTATAGCCATTTCGCGAGTGGTTTGTGCACTGTGGCACGCAACACCCGGGCATTTTGCCCGAGAAAACGCTATAAAACGCCGCGCACCTGTCTCACACAAACCAGACAAACAACTTTACTTGGTCCTGAGAGGCAAGGCAGCGGGCCAACTATGTAGGTCCCCACCCCGCCGTTGGCTAGTCCCATGTCGGAACAGAGAGGCCATGCCTCTCCGCTCGTTCACGGGCCCTCTGGACAGCCTGAAGCTGGACGTCTTGTCTGGGGTCTGTGATTGCCGTCGTCCAGTCTTCTTCTGTTTTAAAATCCTGTAACGCAGGGCACTGCCAGAGCATGTGACTCAAAGAGCAAAATTCACCACAATCTGGGCAAAGTGGATCAATATCCGGATGAAGCTTGCTCAGAAAGCCCCTAGAGGGGTAAGACCCCGTCTGGAGCATGCGGAGCGTGCTTGCTTGTGATCTGTGGAGCTTATGATGGGGAAAGGGAAACGTCTGTCGCTCTCCTCTGTAATGAGATGTTATCTTGTGAAAAGTAACGAGAGGATCACTGTGGACGAGCTCTCCCGAACTCACCCGAGAGACCACCCCGTCGCGGCTTGTGAAACCTCGCGCACAGTCGTGGGCTATCTCGTTTGGGTTCAGGTGACCCGGCAGTACGTCTGGTCCCATGTGAGCGGGAAACCAGACTATGTGATGAATACCGTCTGAGGGGGGTTTGCTGTGGAGAATTCTGGCTGCCTCTGTGGCTATCAATCCCGAAGCGAACGCCCTAACGGCCGCTCGGGAATCGGTGTACACCGTGGTGCGTTTCGTGTCCAGTAATGCCAGCGCTACAGCAGCCTGTTCTGCTACATCGACCAAGGAGGTCTTCACTGAAGCTGCCGAGACAAGTTCTCCCCTGTCATTGACTACTGCCACGGAAAACTTGCTGCCGCCGGCGTGGCGCGCCGCGTCCACAAATGTCTTTGTTCCGGAGAGGTTCTTTATGAAAGCCCTAGCCCTCGCCAACCTACGACCTTTATTGTGTTGGGGATGGATGATTCGTGGAAGAGGGTCAACAATAAAGGAATTCCTTGTTTGATAATCAAGCTGCGTAGTTTCTCCCTGATTGAAGATAGGACGGAGGCCTGCCGCATCGAGCAGTTTTCTTCCTGCCTTGAAACTCGATAACCGAATTATTTGTGCTGACCTTTGCGCTTCAATTATTTTCGAAGTGGTGTTGTGCACTCCCAACTTCATGAGTTTTTCTGTGCTAGTCGTGATTGGGACGCCGAGCACCTTTTTGACACTTTTGCGCATGAGCGTGTCCAATTTATCCCTTTCCGTTTTGGTCCAATTGAGAGCCGCCACTACACACAAACCAGACGCGACGGGGCTAGCACACTCTAGCGAGGCGGGGGGGAGCCGAATGGCGGCCGCCGATCGGAAGGCGGCATTCACCCCCTCACAGAATGACTCCACCCTCCAAGGCGCCGGAGGGGAGAGCGCGCATCGAGGAACCCTATTCGTGCATTGCATCACAGGTCACGCAAAACTAGAAGAGCACGCTGCTCAGCGAAAAAGCGTGAAAAGAATGGAGTGGTTGCGCGGGCAGGCCACGAAAGAAAGTCACAAGTGGACGAAGGCATGTTATGGGTCACATAAACTATGAAATAAGGAAAGCATGCAGACCTGCTACGTGTGGTGACTTCTTTAACGTATGAGTAACTTCTGGGGCTTTGCATTCTGAGATCACGATGCGATTATCACAGACGCTATAGTGGATGACTCCGAAAATATCGACCATGTGCGGTTCTCTAATGTGCACGGACATGGCCCAAGAAAAGGGACTCCACTATGATTTCGCCTCCTGACTAATACCACCACTACGACTTCATTCGACCACTCAGCTTTGGGTTACCAGGCAAGCGCCGTGAATTCTGAGCGGATAGGCCGCATAGACTATAAAATAAGACAGCAACCACATCCAACCACAGTGTCATCTGGTAACTGGAAATATAAAGGGCCTATCGGTAAACAATGACGTTGGCATGAACGTCCTTGAAAGCTTGATTGGTACGTGGGGCTTATAGCCTCCCAAAAGCACCCTATAACTATGAGAGACGCCGTAATGGAGGGCTCCGGAAATTCACACCACCTGGTGTTATTTAACGTGCACGCAAATCTGAGCACATGGACCAGCAGCATCTTGGCCTCCATCCTAACGCAGCCACTGCATTCAGAATCCGCTCCTTCGAATTGCGGGTCAGCAGCCGAGTAGCTTGGCCACAAAGCCACTGCGGCGGGGCACCATTCTTGGAACCATACATACGGCATTGTTGATACATTTTTTCCATTCTGAACCATCCCTGTGTCATAACAAAGACCTCGTCAAATATTTCAGATGATAGCCATTCAATGAATTTCTGATCAGAAAATAGAAATATGCAGCTACCCAAACCTATACGTCATTTCATTTCAAATCTTCTATGAAACAAACAAAGAATGCAAAATTTTATAAATAGCTTGGTTAAGAAAAAGGGAAACAACACGAAAAGATGTACTAGCAGGGCTGATTGTTCACGCACTACATATAATAGGGCCTTGTTTTCTTTCTAATAGGCCTTGCTAAAATAATAATAGGGCCTTGCATAATAGGGCCTTGCTTTCTGCCCACTATAAGTTGTTGAGAAGGCAAGAACGTATTGGAGGAAGAAGACGAAGTGATTCGTTTACGGAACACATCTTTCTCGTCTTTGTGCTTTTCTGGTTTTTTCGCCGCAGTTGTGGGGTCTATCACCCCATATATCGTGGTGATGGATGTTCAACCTCACGGGGCACCGTCCGAGTCCGGTTCGACCGCTGGGACTGCTTCGAGGAAGCGAGGAAACGCGTCCAGTGAGAGTGAGGACACTGAGCTATACTCCGCATCAAGCGACGAGTCCTCGGACGACGGCTTCCAACCCGTCCTGTACCGCAAGGCTAAACGACGGATCGTCAATGCATCTTCGGCATCAAGCACGACTACCGTGAAAACTGCCCCTCAGCGATGGCCTCACTCTATCCTGTTTGTGCCACTGAAGGCTACCGACAGTCTACGCGGGCTGAACAGGCAAGCGCTCTCTGTGTATCTCGAGAATATTACGCCAAATCAGATCAAAGAAATACGTCTAAACGCAAGAAAGAACATCTTGGCAATCGATGTGCTGAACCCACGTGCGCTAAACGCGCTTCAGAAAGTAACGCAACTGGGTAACATCAATGTCAAGTCTATAATACCAGCTGATAGCACCACGTCAACAGGAGTAATTTATGACATCGCCACTGAAATTACAGAATCGGATCTTTCAGTGCTAATAAAACCGGCAAATGAAGATAACGTCATTGTGAATGTCAGTCGCCTTGGTAACACACATTGTGTGAGAATTACGTTCAAAGGGGACTGTCTCCCCTCCCATGTGAAGGTTGGCCACTTTCGTCACCAGGTCCGACCATTTATTCCAAAACCTATGCGATGTCATAAGTGCCAGAAGATCGGCCATGTGCAGGGAGCGTGCAGGAACTCCGAAGTGTGCCCCCGATGCGCAGAACCACATACCGAGGACAAATGCAGCGCAACCATACTAAAGTGCCCTAATTGTCAAGGTGCCCACAGTGCATCTTCCAAAGACTGTCCACGCATAAAGAAGGAATTTACTATTCTTAGACAAATGGTGCGAGACAGCTCTACCCACAAAGAGGCCGCGGAAAAAGTCCGGCGAAGACGACGACATCACCGTCGAAGATCTTCGCGAAGAACACAGTCAACTACAAGAAGTAAGCCAACGCATCTGGGAACGGCGGCCACTGCAGGGTACACCGCGGCGAACGCAGACGATGGAAAACAGAAAACAAGTAGATCTCTCTCTACTGAAGATTGGCCGCCACTTACGCGCACGCAACTTGTGGAAGAACCACATCAGAAGCCGCATTCATCAGAGCAAGCTGCGACAACAGAGGAGCAGCGGAACTTGGATAAGCAAGTGATTGCTCTTCTACGACCCATAATTAATGCCATTCGCACTGTGTTAAACAACATGCGCACAACGTCAGCCAAAAGTGCACTTCAAGTACTGGACGCTCTGAGTCCAGTACTGGCGGCTCTTGAGTAGATAATGGCCCACCAGCCACTGTCTTTCAGGGAAGAGGTCAAAAAAGCAACAATTTTTCAGTGGAATGCACGGGGACTGAAATCACGCATTGCAGATTTCCGTCGGTTCGTTTTTACTAATATGTTTCCCATCATCGTCATCTGCGAGCCAAATTTATCGAGCGCTATTAGACTCTCCGGATACAAATCCTTTATGTCGGCTTGTTATAGTGGAAACAGCAAGGTCCTGCTGTTCATTCGACGTGACCTGACCTACATTATTCGGCCTGTACCACCTGACAACGATAACCAATATATATGCTTAACAGTGAAGAAAAGGGGTCTTACTGTCACTGTTGTCGGTGCATACCTGTCGCCATCAAGTAGATTTGACCACAGAAGACTAGGACACATCCTATCATCCACTCCTGGCCCATGGGTGATCATCGGAGACTTCAACGCCCACCATACGCTATGGGGGAGCCCGAAGATCAGCGCAAAGGGTAGAAGTCTGATAACGTTTGCTTCAGACAACGAGCTGTGCTTGTTAAATGATGGCAGCCCAACATTTTTACGTGGCCCTGGATACAGCAGTTGCCTTGACTTAACTTTTGTTTCTCGAGGTCTTGTCAGATGTGCCGGATGGTTTGCGGACATAGAAACACATGGGAGCGACCACATTCCCACATATGTCAAGATCAGAGGATTATCACCTTGCAAGGTACGCGAAACTATCCAAAGAGTAGACTGGACCAAGTTTGAATTTCTCATGGAAGAACGCTGTAAAGAGAACACCTCATTTGACTTAGAAGAGGTGATCAAGTCCACAGTGCAAGACACAGTGTGCACCCTCAAATGCTCTTCGAGAGTAACCGAATTTGATGTGGAATTAGAACGACTTCGGGCTCTCCGACGGCGTGCGGAACGAAGGTACCGACGCACGAAAGCAATCGACGATTTACGAATCGCTAGACGTCTTCAGAAGAAGATACAA